TTAAGTAGCTGATACTCACACTGGGTACATCATATTTGCTACCTGTTTGAGAAGAATAGAAATGTCTATTCTTCATTAAGATTTTTTATTTTCTTATCTTGCCTAAGGAATGGCAGGATTTTTTAGTCTTGAAAAATTAGTGGAACATATTTCAAATGACATCCTGGCACACACTCTTTCTGTACCTCAGTTTGGCTACATTACATATTTTGTTTGTGTGCCTCTAATTATTTTTGCTGTAAAACTGCTGTGTAATACATCAAGTCTTCAAAATGGATGCCTTGGTAATTTTGCATAAAAGGAAAAGAAATGGGATGAAGTATCAGTGGGGATGAAGAGGAGTTGGCTATTCAAAGTATGAGGATTGGTTTGGATAATGGGATGTGTCAGAGCCAGATGGTTTACAAATAGGACATAGAAAGCAACAAAGGGTCTGCCAGAATTTTATGTACAAGAACTTGCTTTCAGAGATTTACCAAGTAAGCAAAGTATAAACATTTTCTCTCTTGGACCTACTGCCTTTTTCTCTGCAGAGGGAGTAGAAAGATTCAGTTTAAGAAAAATAACCTCAGAACTCCATTTCCTCTCCCCCAAAATATCCAGAATGAAGAGCTTACTGCAAAAAATGATGAATTTTTACATATTATTTGATGTTCTAATCTTCTGCTATCAGGACTTTTCATGACATAGGCCAGCAAATGAAAAATCATGGATGAGAGAATACTGGTAGCGTGTAATGTTTGGTTTTGTTCCAGAAGACCTTTGAACATACACAACATGGTATTTTGGTACTGAATAAGACTTTACATAAACATAATACCTTTGTAGGTAAAATATGTTTGTTTTCCCTTTTTAAAGATACCAAATTTCAGGGATTCTACATTATGATTTGAGCAACTTGGCCCAAAAGAACTGGAGAAGAACGTAAGTGGAAATTACAGGCTCAAAAACTTAATAGAAATGAAATTACATCTTACCCAATTTACCCACTTGAGGAGAGTAGCACATGTTGATCTGATGTTCATAGAGATGAGTTCTCTAACTGAAAAGGGGGTTCTTACTCTGTTGAGGAGCACTGTGTACAGCTAATTCTTATACAGCCAGACTGTAGTACTTCAAATAATAGGCTTATGCCAAGCAGTGGCAAACCAATTGTGATACAGATATAATATTTCAGCTGGATGTAATTTACTCTCTTCTCATGTAAATCTAACACCTGCTGCTCCATAGCCATAACAGGAGTGCTTTTATCCTGCATGTTTACCTTTGAGTGTTGTACTATCCCTGTTTAAACTTCTGTATGTGAAAGAACAACACCTCCCATTTGCCTTGGTTCTCTTAAGTGCTGTACTGGACACAGAGGGTGAACAGAGCTGCTCGAGAGCTTCCTAAGACCAGCCATCCTATACTGCTCTTTTTACTTCCTTTTTCTTGAATAATGAGTAATTTTGACAAGAACCCAGGGAAAAAAAGTCACATTGCAGTCAAGTTCAGAGTTTATTCCAGGTCAAAATAAAAGACTAGAAAACCAGGAAAAATAAGTGGTTCAATAACCATGTTTTGCCTAGGGGGTTTTTTTGTTTGTTTTTTTTTTGTTTTTTTTCCTCATTTCACAGAACAGGGTGAGTGATCAGAAGCTAATACCAGTGCAAGATTCATGGGACAAAACCCTAGTGCACTGAGCTATCACATACGCACCCCCTAAAGGTTACCAAAAGAAATCTTCAAACACAGAAGTACACCAAATTAAATGGTGAATACTAAACCATTCAGCAATGAATAGAAGATGCTGACTGAAAAATCCTAAAGGGGCATGAGCACCACAACATCCAACTCAGGGAAATCCCACAAACATGATTCATCGGGAAAACAGAGACAGTCATACACACAAATTTATCAATAGAAACAAGATCTGAATCACAAGTAAGGAAATGTCCCAGCAGATCACCCTACTTTCCTAAAAAATCCGGTAAGTTTGTGGTTGCGTTTTTGCTCTGTTCTGAAGTTAGAATTTTCAGACTTTTGCTCTTTGAGGATGTATTTATTATTGCTCTTCTTCAACTGGCTCAACCTACAAGGTGGTTACAATAATGTACGTGCCCAGGCAGCTGAACTAGCTCTTACATTATGTAATGTAAGTCAGGTATAATTGTTATTTACCTCACCAGAGGATGAAGGAAAAACTGCTTTTTTTACTCTTGTCTTCTGGGGCTTCTGTATGGAGCTCTTGCAAGCCTTGGCCAAACAGCTGTAAAACCAGGTTTATGCCGAGCCTCCTTTAGTAAAGGCCAAATAAGGCCCTTGCCAAATAAGTAGGTAAATCAAATAGATCTTCATACTTAGGGAATAGTGAGTAGAAAAGTTGATGCATGGGCTTGTGATAGAATTTATCAGAGGGGGAGATACAACATTTGCACAAACATGCTTGGTTCCATGTCCACCCAAAAGTGCTTTTCAAAGGAGGTGGGTTTTATTCCACAAAGTTTCTCTTTTCCAGCAGGGCTTGGGCAGCAGTTCAGAGTTACTGTCTGTTGTGAATGTGAATCACAAAGCTCTGGATGTCCCCAAAGAGCACAGAACAAAGAGCACAACAAAGGTCAAGACGTGAGGAGCCATGTGAGTCAGACTGGGTTTTTTTCAACACAGTTTTGGATTTTTGTGCCTCAGATCCAGCTGTATTCAAGTCCTTTTTTGAACTGACTCCAGCCATCTTCTGAAGAGCCTGTAATTATTTTGGCTGAGACCTAAAGTATTGACAGAAGCTCCTGCAAAATTAGAAAGGAGAAATCTCAACATGGATGTGGAATAACTTCTGGTCCCAAAAGGGACAATTGCCCATGACTCTGTGCTGCTAATAATTGTTGCCTCTCGCTGGACTTGGTAATTGTGCAGGCACACCAGGCATCGGCACAATTTCTTAATTTGATTTAGGGAACATTGCATCTGCAAACTCACTGCATGTCCCCACAATCACTGGCTTTGTTTGTGTGGGTGGAAAAGGCAGGAGCACACAGCCAAGGGCAGGTCAGTAAGATGATTGTAAATCAGTTGATACCAAACCTGAAGCCATACCCCAGGTACTTGTTCAACAGATCATTTGAAAGGTTCCTCAGGTGTGTCTGTACAGGTGCACTGGCTCACAAGAACGTAAACAACAGAGATTTGCAACAGAAAGCTGCAGGACAGGACTCAGTGAGATTGAGAAATGGGAAGTCTTTGGTAGGTGGCAGGGATCAAAGGCCCTGGCAGCAATTGTGATTGCAGGAATCGGGATGGGAATATGACAACGAGTTGAGCTCTCAGGGAGAAGGAAGAGAGAGGGGGAAAAGTGTTTCAGCTGCCAACAACATTGATGGGCAGGCAGCCAAAAGCAATGAACGACTGCATGTGTGCTTGGCATTGGCTCTCCTGGGGGAAGGAGTGGATAAAACAGAAAGAAGGAAGGAAAGAAAACAGCAAGGAAACTGAAAGCAAGAGAGGATCAGCTTGGATCAGATCTACTCTACAAATGTCCTCACTAGCAGGCATAGCCCATGCTTGCTCTAATTGCACAATCCAGTCTCCATCACACAGCTTAAATGTTCCACATCCTGGAACTTTAGACGACATGTTTATTTGATTATAATTGCAAGGTCCTTGGGCACTTTTTAAGAGCAACTAGAAGTCCTCTTATTTCACAGGGAAACAAAAAGGCAGAAAAGCAAAAAAAGCCCAGCATTAACACAGGATATTCCCCACCCTGTCATAAAAAGCTCCACTTCCCTTTTTCTAGAATGAGTGTCTAAAAAGCAGATGAACTCTTGCAAAACTCTTTGAAGAGCTGAGTAAATACTGAAACATTCTGTTGGGTTAGGAATAAGTTAGTTTTACTAACAAATTTTGCCTTGAAACTCAGTCAAGTTTCCTCCCTGCTGGATCTGTACTATTTTTAGAATACCTGTATTTGGGTGGTAACTAGGGCCATGCTTGCTAGCTACCATAAAATTCTGGTTCTGAAGGGAAATATTTTTTATCCCAAATATTTTATTCTCCTGAAATTTATCAAAATAGCACTTATGTCCTATTCCCAGTTCTGAGAAAATTTTGGAAAACTTGCTGCATCTCTCCCATAAAAAATGTGAGAGCAAAATTCCAAGTGACCATATTGTATTTGGAAAGGGCTGAAGGAGAGGGAGTTTGGGGAAGTTTGTGGAAGGCAGATCTGAAAAAAAAAGAACAATATGCATTTTTAGCACAGACGAGAACTGTAGAAATTAGCTGAATTTTCAGGAGGGATTTTGAAAAGCAGCATTCTGCCAGGGGCTGAATAACTGCTCCGACATCAAGAGAACTGCTCGGGGATGTGCGAACGTAGCTTGCTTTCCTGGTAGAGGACATGAACCGTACCCGTCTGGGGCACGGTTCAATAGCTGTAGCAGACAAGTGCGAGCCCAGTTGTAAAAGGAAAACGACTTTGACTCGCAGAACGAGATGCTCGTGAGTCTGCGGCCGCGCTGCAGCGCCATGTGCGGAAGCACGGGGGGCACGGGGCAGCGGAGCGGGGCGGCTGCGATCCCTGCAGGGGCTGCGCGGGCACCGCCCGCGTCCCGCGGCGTCCCTGCGGTTCCGCGACTGCAGCGCGGCCAAGCCCGGGCTCGGGGAGGCACCGACGGCTCCAGCGGAGGGGAACTCAGTGATCTCAGAGTCTTTTCCAATCGAATTGATGCCGTGAAGTGTCTCTGTGCTGGGCATGCGGGAGGCAGCGGCGAGGAGCGGAGGGCAGTGCAGAGGGGTGACAGCAAAGGGAGGGCAGGGCGGGCAGTGCGGGGCCGGGGATGCCCCCGTCGCTGCGCCCGGGGCGGTGCTGCCCAGGTGGCGGGGCCGGGCCGCCCCTCCCGCCCGGCTCGGATTACCTGGGCGGGCCGGCCCAGCCCGTCCCGTCCCGTCCCGTCCCGTCCCGTCACGCCGCCCTTCCCGGCTGGTCCGGCCCCTTGACGGGAAGTGGGAGCGAAGGGCCGCGCTGGGGCGGCCGAGCCATGGCTGTGCCCGCAGCGGCTCCGCTGCCCTGCCCGCTCCTCCTCGCCGTCTGCTGGGTGGTGGCCGCGGCGACGGCGGCAGGTAGGAGCGGGCAGGGCGGCGGGGACGGGGCGGCGGAGCTCGGGAGCGGCCGCGGGCTGCGCTCCGTGGCCGCGGGCGCGGTGCCGGCGCTGGAGCGGCCGCTCCGGCTCTGCTCGTGCGTGGGTCGGGCGGCTCGGCCGTGGCTCCGCGCACACGCGGGCATGGATGTAAGGGAAATGCGGGCATGGATGTAAGGGAAATGCGGACATGGATGGAAGGGAAATCCTTTCATTTTGTGGTAGAAATAGCCCGAAGCTCGTCAGCCGTGTGCGAGGCAGCGCCGGCTGCGCGCCCTGCCCTGCCGCTTACAGGGAGTGGGGATGCTGAAAATCTGCTCTCCCCTTTCATTAAGGCAGGGTCGGTAGAAATGTTTTAAGCTCCATCTTCGTTTCCCGGGACAGTTTCTGCCTTAAAACCCCAAGCAGAATCCCCCGCCCTCGTCCCGGTGCCCGCGTCTTGCGGCCGTGCGGGAGCGGCTCCGCCGGTGCGGGCACGCAGAGCCTCCCTCGCCCTGCGCCTTCCCTCTTCCTTTAGTATTCCCGATTTTGGAAGTACGAATGTTTAGTTTTAGGAAACATGCGTGCGCGTCTGTGAGGGCTTCATAAGGACGCGGGCTTGAAGGTTTATTCTCAGCTCACGTTATCTAAAAACCCAGCTATAGACATTAACGAAATGTTATTTTTCAACTGCCTGCAATTCGGTTTATCATTATGAAATCAACTTTATCACTATGAAATCAACTTTCAGAAAATGCAGGAGGACAAAATAAAAATATGATGACTTTTATGCTACTTTACAACACTCTCAGGTGATACTTGAAGCAAAGGATTTGCTTATTAGGGCTTTTAGAAATAACATGTTTTCTATGCCTCACGTAATCTCTGCTGGCTATTGCTGTTCTTCTTTCCTTAGAAGCACCACTGTGGTTTTGCATTTTAAGAGTGAAATAACGGCTTGCCTACATTTGTAGTTGGTCATTGAGTTGTTCTGCAAAACTGCTACAGAAATTCTAATAACGAGAGCATGAGACGGTGAGCATGAGCATATTTTACACAGACAAAAGTATGAGATTGGCTTAATCTATGAATAAAAGCTGAATTAAAAACATTAAAACATGAGCTTCAGAATTCTGTAGATTATTCAAAAACCGACTAAATTTAAACTTTTTATGCTAATACGATTTACTGATTAATTTATAAGCTGTAAATATTAGCACTTCTTTGTGTGGCTAGTAATCCACAAGCTTAAGTGCAATGGCTTCTAATCAAACCTTTTAGAAGAAAATGTTTAGAACTTCAGAGTAGAAATCAAGGATGACATATTTTCATGATTTGTGGCTATTGTAGGTAAAAGTTCAATCATGACAAGACGGAATGCTTGGAGCTGTGTCCTCTTGTTGAAAATGTTTGGGGTTTTTTTAATATGATCAAAAGGACTCAGTATTTGCAAACCTAATGTCCCAGGGCTGTTCCTAAAGCCCGTCCTCTGTTTTTCTAGTGGAAGAGGTAATAGGCAAAGATGGTCTTGCTACGTTCAGTTTTCTCACTGGAGACTGTATTTTTGCAAGAATAAAAATTTCTCTTTTCTGCTCAAACAAAAATCACAAAAATTTTAAGTATTCAAACAAACCAAGCATATTCAAACTAAATCAGTGAATCTTTGTAATTATTCTCATTATCTGTGCAAGCACACGGATTATAATGGTGCCTGATCTTTACCATTGCCTGTTCTTGTACTATGCAAAGGTCTGAGAGAGCTCCAGAAGTTTGATGAATTCCCTTCAAGATTTAGCTGCTCTGGCTTTAAGGAAATGTAAAATAATGGTGTCATGGATGCTTTGAGCAGAACTGTTGCTCAAGGAAGCTCTTTTGCTTCTCTATCTTCCCTCTTCCTTGTGCTAGCAGAAGGAAACGGGGCTGCACTGTGACCTGGATGGGAAAACTGATCTTGATGGAATTATTCTGCCCTTTTCCTATGAGCTCACTTGAATATTGAGATGGGTTGAGCTTGGTTCCCTGGGACAGCAAGACCTGCAGCACGAGCTGATATCTGTTTGAAGTGTTCATGAAACTATTGAGTAACGAGGGTACCCTCTGCCCACAGACTAACAAGTGGTGGTGATGATACCTGGAGATACCCTGAGAAACAGAAATTGGGCTTCTGGTTCAACATCTTCTCATAGTACATATTAGAGTAGCCCTTTAAAAAATCAAAGTTCACTTTTACTTTTTTAGGGAATTCCCAGTTGGTGATGTTTTCTAGAATTGATGTCTGACACGTACTTAACTTTTTCCTGGAAGTTTGCCATTTCTTGTCGTATTTCCCTTCTTTGTTTTCTAATATGATCTTCAAGCTTTGTGATGGGTCTTGAACAGGCATTGACTCAGTGCACACGATAAGGAAGGGTCAAAGCACAAATGGATTTATCACTGTGACTGTCTCTGAGTCATGGCCCTGCTCTGCTTCTCGTTGGCTTTTGGGGAGGTAAAAAATGGATCCCTGAAGTGTGGCAGCAGTAAATTACTACTTATCCCACACTGGTTTTGCTCACTGTGCCAGAACATAGCATTATATTTTTAATAGGTAATTGAGAAAACGATGTGGTTTCTTTGTTGTTTTTTAACATTGTTGCATTTGCAATCTTTGCTTTGCTTGCAGTCTTTGCTTAAATTGTGCTTCTAACATACAGCTGTTACTTGCAAGATGTAATCTCTTGTCTTTTTAAGGATTTCTCTTTCAAACGATGCTGATGGATAACTTTTGGGCAGAACACAGTATTAATTGCTCCACAAAATGTATATACTGTTTTTACTAAAGTTTCAGCATGTCATTCATCTTCCCGCAACACGCAAAAGCTCAAGTACCACAACCACTGCGTTGTTGCAGGCTGCAATTTCTTAAAAATTACTTTTCAGGTAATTTGTGCATACTTAAAATATTTATGGGTTGAGGTAACAAGAATAATAGAAACACTTTAGTGGGCACTACTTTATCTGATAGAAAACATGAGCTGACAAAGCTGAGAAGTTACGTGTGTTCTTTTCTGTCAGAGAGTTAAAAATCTGCCAGTATTACTAATGGCAAAGTGTGAATTGTTACACTGGTTACTCTTTTCTTCCAGGAGCAAAAGTTCTTCCATCTCCATCCAACTTGAACTATTCATTGACCCATATCTGTACTCTGACCTGGACATGGAACCCTCCAGAGAACATCAGCAGTAGCTGCAACCTGGAGTATTCCAGTGACATCGTCATTAACGGGGTTCCTGAGGACAGAAGAGTAAGTGCATCACCTCTTTGAGCTCTGTGTTCCAGTAAATGTCCTACTGTTATAAAACCCCGTGTGGGAGAGCATATACACATATATAAATACAATTTTAATACAGCGTTTCATTCTTATCATGGGATCAAAACCTCAAAAATGAATCATACCAGCATATGGGATCTTCGGATCATAAAAATCTGTCTGTTGCTCTCTGATAACTGAGTGCTGATGGTAACACAGAAGTACTGTAATAATAATGGGAGAAGTCTCCTTTCAGTCTTTGCTTATGCAGCTTTCTAGAAAAAATAGATACAGGGCAGTCTACATACTCAAGAGTTAAATGGGAATTTGCAAAGGCTTTTCTCCTTTCATTTGGACTCAGTTTAAAGAGACATGCAGATTTAGTTGTAGTTTGACAGTATTGCATCTTTTGGAGGTAATGCCAAGAATTAACATTCCCCATTTACCCTCTCCCTGCAATTACAATTATTTATGGGAGGGTTGTGTTTTGAAGTCAATATGGAATAGAAGACATATAACTCATTTATTTGGGGCTTTCTTTTTCTGCATTAGATGGTTTGTCCAGATGTGCTCCTTGCTGTGGATTAGCTGCTGTTTGGACAGGGCATTGCTGTGGTGTCCATTGCTATGGGCTGTAGGACAAGTATTTTTACAATTTATTGACAGTAAGAAGATAAATCCATTATTCCATTAACTTATTAATTATTCCCATTAACTCTGGGAATTTGAAGCCTTTGGCAGATGCCAGCTGTGGGGGAGGCAGTGCTGCTATTTCAGATATGGTTACAATTGATATGGTGCCTCTTGAAGCCGTCCATTGTTGTTGAGCCCTTTTACAGACTTACAGCCTGATGCTTACACTGGCCTTTCCATGCTAACCACTGTATTTGTTCCCACAGCCCCAGGATATCCTGGACATGAGTAGGGATGTGGTTTGGCCAGTTTGGATGGAGCATTGAGCAACCTGTTCTAGCGGAACGCAGGAACCCACAGCGAGGGGGTTGGAACTGGATGATCTTTGAGCTCCCTTCCAGCCCAAAGCATTTTATAATTCTGTGACTCTGGTTTTGCAAACAGCTGATTTAATGTCACTGCTAAAAGGGTGATGTTTCATTTTGAAACTAATGATCTCTAATAATCTTCATTGGACCTTAGGTGAGCCAGTTGAACCTGCTAACACAGCAGAAACCTATTTACCTATTTTGATTTTGGAGTTATAATAATTTCATGGGAAGGGGGCCCATGTTTTCTATTCTGACAGAAGTTCCCACCTTCCTTGCCAGACACCTGTCTTTTAAACCAAGACAAACCTAATGTGTCCATTTGTTTGATTTCTTTACCCTCTCATTAGTGCCAATATTTATTATTTTTATATATGAGTGGTTACAGCATTCTTTGGCCATAACAAAGATATTTGTTTTTTATCCAGTTACCACTTAACTAAAAGGCATCCTCCTAGGCCAACAAAAGATGCTCAAGAAAGTGTGTGATAAAAGGATGAGCCTTTTTCTCATGCAAACATACTCGAAATGGAAGATCATGAGATACTTGGGCTTGATGTGGTATCACTGCTTTTAATAGCCATTTATGGGTTTGTTTTGGTACATTTTTCTTCTGCTCCTTGAATCATCCAAACTCATCTCACTGCTTTTTGGTTGTGTCTTCAAATGTTCTTCATTCTGTTGGTCATGCCCTCATGTGCACACACACAGAAAGGTGAAGGTCAGATCTGTAAGTGCCTGTTTATACCGCTGTAGTATAAACATGCTTATTTTGTATTATCCATGAAGACTTTTCTAGGATCATTTTGCCCCTTGTTATACTTACTTCTTGATCTCTGTGTAACCTTTGCTTATGTCTGTAGGTCACAGGGGTAGGAGTAGCTCTTCTTTGTGAGTTCTGACTGCGCCTGTGAAAGAAAAAAGCAAAGCCAAGAGATGCTGAGGCTTCCCACATAGCCGGACACTGGTTTCCTTTGGCTTTGAGCTGTAGTCTTTCTGAAGGGCTGTAATATATCCTGACACTGGCAGGAATTCCCACTGTCTGAGATGGTATGACAAATGTTGTGGTTTTCTTCCCCCCATCTAAACCCAGGAATGGAGTAAAAGCCGATTCCGTGTGACGGACGCGCACTTGAATGAGGAAATGCGCCTCAGAGTGAGAAGTGAGTGCAAGAATGACAACACCAGTGAGCCCAGCCCCTGGGTGGAGACCTCCCTCCTGCCAAAAGGTAATGCCAGCTGTAGGCAGACCCCTCTTGGCCTGAGGAGACATGGCTTTTTCTCTTCTCTTTCAACAAGAAATCATAAAATGCATCATAGAGAAATACCAGACACAAGGGGTGCTTTTATTGATAGAGCTTAAACAGAATGATTATACCACCTTTAAACATAACTAGGGTCTTCTAATGCTTAAAGTCTTCTGGGCAAGCTTGTAAAATTGAAGTGCACTTCCAAAACAGCAGTGTAGTTCCTGTTACTTGTCTTCTGCCTCCTTTGAGCCCTTCTTTCTGAAGGGTTGTAATGTATCCTTACACTGGCAGTAATTCTCTTGTGTCTGAGATGGTATGACAAATGTTTTGGTTTTCTTCCCCCCATTTAAACCCAGGAATGAAGTATGAGCTGCTTTGGTTTTGGTGGTTGTGGCATAAGAGATGGCTCTGACTTCATTAAGCCTGCTGCCTTCATGACTAACATCTAAATCTGTTTATTTTGTATGATTTTTCTGTATAAACAGAAGCCCATAAAATGACTCTACAATTGTCTATGTAGGAGGGAGGAATGTAGTAAATTTAATAACTTGTAGAATAAATTACTTAAATAATTGTAATAGGGTTCCGTCTTTTTCAAGAGATGAGTGAGGTCTACAAAGCATAGCAAAATGAATAAAGAAAAACAAAAAATATTTTTTGTTTCTTGGCATGCAGAAGTATGGGGTCCACAGCAAACTGTTAGGAAGCAGACTTTGAGGAGTAAGCTATTTTGCTGAATACTTGAAGTTAGGATGTACAGCAAGAAAATGAGCCTCTTGCCTAAAAGTCTGTCTTAACCCAGGAGCTTGACTTGATGTGGATGAAAACCACGTGTGGTTGGGAGAATCAGAGACCTTATCAAGCTTGTGTGGGTGTCTGCCAAAAGGGTTCTGGAAAATCTGGGAAGGAGATCATTAGGACAGCATGTACTAAACAGGCTGGGGATTTTAAAAGTGTGTGTGCAGATGAAATATTTTTATATATTTCTTGGAATAGGAAAACCTGTTTCATTTCCCTATACTCTTAGCTGCTGCTTCAAGGAGAATGCAAGTTCTGACTTTCAAAGTAGATCTGCATTTAATACGCATTTAGTTTTTAGTTCGTGGAGATGTTGCTGCTTGTTACAAGGAGAAGGTGTCCAATACAATGTAATATGGTAATACAGTGTAAAGAACTCATACAGAAATGTAAGATTGAATATGAAAGACTTTAATCCATAATTGCTCTGCCTGGGTGATCCATTGACCTATTCACAATTGCTAAGTACTCATTTGTATTGATGTGACTTGAGTTTCCAAATGCTCGATTTTAATGTCTAAAGGTATATGGGTCTCAATTAAAAAGTCAGTTTACCTAGTGTTGCTTTTGTCAATATTTAAGACTCAGGGGTATTTCCATATTATAAATACCAAGTAACTAATACTATATCTGGAGAAGCTAAAAATAGTCAGCCTTTAATTATGGTTGACATTGATGGCTGTAAAAGCATTTAGCTTTGCTATAGTTTTCCCTGCAATTACCAGCTACTTTGACTTATTTTTAAAGTACGTGTAGATTAATAGAAATAAATATTTTCCTGACTCAATACCTTGTCCTTAGCATCTGGTAACTCTAAGTAGCAATTCAGCCATGGTGAACTCTGGGATGTGCTGTTATGATTGGCTTGCCTCTCAAAGTTACTCTGCTGAGATTTCAGTCATTGCAAGCTCTAAACAGCTGGAACTCATCATTTGTTGTGCTGAACAGGCAGTGTAGTCTGAGAGGTAACCAACCCACTTCTGCCTTCCAGTTTCAGTTATGAAATGTTTTACTTCTGGAATCAGCAGAGAAAACTTGGACAAAATAAATCTTAGAGAACATTTCCAACTTGCCTTGCAGGTATTCCAGGTACTGCTGCTGTTGACTTGGGCTGTGTTTGGCACAATCTGGAGTACATGGCTTGTACCTGGCATCGTGGGGAGAATGCAAGCAGTGACACCAACTACACTTTGTTCTACTGGTTCGTGGAGATTTGTCTTTGCAGCTCTAAAGTGCTCTAGGACTAATCTTTAGTTTTACATGACACATTCCACTTGTCTGCTTCCTGTTGCTTTTAAAGTTCCCAGGGCGTTGTGTCCAAGTTACTGCTCAGTCCCATCCAACAGAAAACTTCACCAGTTAAGGGGTCAGAAGCTGCTATGGCCAAGACTTTTTGGGAAGTTGATATAAGTGTTTTGTGTCTGCTTCTGTAGCCCAGATTAACACAGCTGCTATTGCTCTCTATACTTTTGTTTGGGCACTTGATTCAAAGGGGGAATAACTAAGAACTAAGCTAGACCAATTATTAGTTGCTTTCTTTGCAGTCCAAGAAAACAGGATGTTTAAGTTAGGATCACTCACAATGTATGTATCAGCTCATAAACCATTGGGAAATGGTATGAAAGCATTAATAACTCTTAGCAGTACTTCTGTTTGCATCTTCAATGTTGTAAATAACTGATTCACCTTTAAAGCTATGAAGAATATCTTTTTATCATCATCCTCCCCGCTGGCCAGTGGACAGCCATAAATGGTGTCTTGTTCCCAAGGAACAGACTTGTGTGAGCCAGCTCTTGGCATTGATAGCTGTACATGCTGATCTATGCATACTTCTGCACCTTGGTGGGGCTTGTGAAATCCCAGATTGCATTAGCTTCTGTAGAAATAGTGGAGTTTCCTTTTCGAAAGCCCCATGTTGTAGTTTTAAATCAGCTTTCTGTCTTATTTGAGCTAACTACATAAACTTTTTGCTTTTCTTCTCCAGTGACAGTCTCGCAGGCCAGCTGTTCAGTTCAGGGCATTTGGGCAGCCAGCAGCACAAATCTTGCTGCTTTCATTAAATGTGGGGGGACTATTTGTTCCCTGTCTAGACTGCTGCTCAAACTTCTTCTTTGTTACAAGAAGAAGACCAGTGCAGGGTTGATGATCTGAGTTTCTGGGTAGAGAGATACTTACTGGAATAATGCTTTAGATTTGAGCTATATATTTTCAACCTGCCCTTAATTTTAATGGAAGATGTAGCTGCAGTGACTTCAAAGTGGTTTAATTCATGCTGCTTTGAAAGAATAATAATTTTTAGATTTTAAAGCCAAAAACTAAGGAAACACTTCAATTTTAGACTGAAAGATACATTTTCCACAATGCCAGTGTGGTAGAGCTTTTTGTTCTGTTTTTCCTGGGAGGAAAGACTATTGGTATATTTCCATTGAGACTTGGGCCACAAAGAGAAGCAAGGAAGAAGTTTGTCTTCCTAACTTCTCTGTTATTGGAAGGGAATACTGACATTTTGAAAATCAAATCGGGTAAATAGGTAAAACTCAACTGTCTCAAGAGCTGTGATACTGGAGGCAGAGCTAAAGATTGATCAGCTCACTCTATCACAGAGATGAAATTCTGCTGACAAGAAGTGGTCCAACTTAGTATGTTTTCTAAATATTCTTTACTCCTTGGAATTGTTCTCCTATGTGGAAAATGTGAACCAAAGCTGACAGCAGTTGTTCTTTTTGATATAAAGCAAACCTGCCTCTCTTTCTGCTCCTTGGCGCTCTTGACAAAAACAAGACTCTTTCTAAAGCTTGAGATAAATTAGAGGCTGCTTACTTTGCTTAGCTTTACTTTTTTATATGCTATAGCATAGCTTTAATGCAATATCAGTCTTTAGAATTTGTAACACACATTTATAAGCAAACCTCCCCCTTGCTGTTCTTTTTCTTCTGAAGTTTACAAGAATGATTTATTCCTCTAGGTTTGATGGCTTGGAAAACCCTAAGAGCTGTAGCAACTCCTCTGTAGATGGAGAAATCTTTGAATGCATTTTCAATCTTACCTTCCCAAAAGACCGGAGAACTTATCCTGATATAAGTATTTTGATAAGAGGTGATTCTGAAGAAGTTAGGCCTGTGTGTGCAAGTAAAAATCCTACCACACTTGGTAAGTTTAACGTCACATCATAAAAATATAATTAAAATAAGAAATTCGGTAGTACATTGTTGTGTTTGAGAAACTTCACCTCATAAAGTATGGATGAGACAATGAGACTAGATGCTCCCTTCTACTGACCTTCGATTTGAAATTATACAGACAAGAGTTTGTTTTCTGTATGATGAGTATCTGGGAGGAAGAGGGAAGGGTAATTTTCTATTAACTTCTACTCTTATTCTTTAGTAGAATTTACTCTTTTTTTGACTTACTGGTGCTAACTTCTTCCTCCTTCTCTTTTTAATCTGGTGTAAGTGTAATATTCTGCAATACAGGACTGAACAATTTTTGCAAGCGGTGAAATAGACTTTTGAACTAATTATTCCATTTTGCATTTCAGTAAAACCTGCCATACCAAGACAATTGACATTGTCAAAGACTAATGATAGAATTGATGTAAAGTGGAGTGAATCAGAAACTTTTCCAAAAAGTTGTTTGCAGTATGAAGTTAAGTGTTCCAGTGGTGATTTGGACACTGGTCAGATCATTGCAGTAAGTTTTCATTGCTCTTTTTTTTTTCTGTGAATCTTTTGAAATATTTGGGGTTGATAATGAGCAGTTGCATGTGAGTGGGTCGGGTGCCAGAGCTGAAAGTGCTGTGTGAATGTAGGATTTTTCTCTCATGCTGTAGGTTGATGTTAGTAAAAGCTGTACATCAAAATTCATGACAGTCTTATGAATCTTTCCCATCATTTTTAGGGTAATTTGTTAGTGTGAGAACAGTCTGATAAAGGGGGATTTACTAAACTCTCAGGAAATGGTGCCTGTCTGCTTCTCAGGCATATGGGCTTTGGTGTCTTGGTGTTGGGTTTTCCTGCTGTTGGTCTCTGTGGTCATGTGGCAGCTTTGGATTTAAATGCTGATTGCCCTAAAGAAAAATCAGCTGCTGGTGCAGACAAGAACAGAGAATCTCTCAGAGAAAAGCAAGGGGGTAAAGACTGAGGATGGAGGGGAAGAAAGAGGGGTGCACCCTCAGATACACTGATTTTAGTGTGCACATAAAAGCATTGAGTTCAGAGGCTGGATGGACTCGTGCTGTATGTCCATAGCCAAACTGAATGTACTGTTTGATCAGAATGGTAAAAATAGCATGATAAATTTCAAAGTGAGTGGGAGTCTTCTCCTGTGGAGCATGTTTAGTTGTTTATTTTACCCCAAACTCGAATGCTAGCAACATTCCCCAGGAAACTGGTATTTTGGATGAAAAATAAGTGCAGTTAGATCCTATCTAGGGTGTGCTTTTCTCTGTAGAGGCATCACAGAACACTTTGGTATGGTTGGTTATGCTGCCCTGACAAGAAGCGAAGGTAAATCACAGATATTTCTCAGAAAAAGGAAAAAAAAATTAAAAAGGCACTGTTCCAAATGCTAAGTCTTAGTTTAATCATTGATGCCAAATGCTGCATGATAGATGTAGTGAATGAGATTAAATCTTAGCTTTGGAATGTGCATTTAGGCCTTCTGTGCTTGTTAAATTCCACTATGTCCTATTTGTAATGAGGTTTCATAGTCATGAAAAGGTCTTCCATCAAAACATTCAAAATGCATTAGCTGCACAATGTAAATAGTCTTGGAAGTGACTGAGAATACCTTGGTAATTGAACAAAGCAAATTGCCTTTTCTTTTTTGCCTTAGTCTGAAAGGAATTCTGTGTCAATTCCTGGCATTGATGCTAACAGCAAGTACAGCTTCAGAGTGAGAGCAAAGCCAAAGCGGGAGTGCTACAACAGCCATCTCCAAAGTGACTGGAGTGAGGAAAAGAGCATTGGTGAGAGACTTGTCCCTGCACTGTGCTGTATTTACTCTTCATCTCTAAGGCATTTCATACCTTTCTGTCTGCTAAATAAATGGCAGTCAAGGATCATCTCCTTATGTACCTATTTAATTTTGAGTGAAAAAAGGACAGAAGAGCTATTCTGCAGCACCACCTTCAGCAGCACCACCAGTCCCAGCCTGTGCTGCTGTTGATAGTGGAGCCTTTTGTGGAGCTATGCAAAGTCCAGTGTAGCCAATTTTTCAGCCCTGAGTCTTGCTCATTTGCATCTCCCTGCCAAACACATCAACATTATAATCCCATCTTTGGAAAACAAGACTGTCCTTGCCTACAAAAGTGTTAGTGAACTTGAAAAAGCACTGAGTCTATGAACAAATTGGAGAATTAACTATTTTGTTGTCATTATTCCTAAAAAAGCCTCTCAAAATATCCCTAAGTTTCTACAATTTCTGTTTTCCAGGTGAGAAGAGGGACTCTACAATCTATTTTGTTCTGATAATTACCATTCCATTAATAGTAGCAGTATCTACAATAATTCTACTGGTTTATCTAAAAAGGTAAATATTGATCTCCCTACATTTGCTGCTGTCTTTGTCAAGGTGAAAGTTATTTAGAATCTGTCTGTGTCAATGTTCCCCTTCTGTCTTGGGGAGTAAAAATAAGAAATGGGTAGAGTTGCACAGAGAATGAAGGCTGGCCAGTGATGTCAGCGTTGACTCCACAAATTTTGTTGACTGTACCCAAACATGATTTTGACATTTTTAAATGATTCAGTGGTTTTTAAATTATTTTTGAATTAATATATCTTTCATCTAAATATTTTCTTTTTAACTTTATGAAGGTTGAAGATATTAATTCTTCCACCAATTCCGGACCCAAGAGAAATTCTTAAGCGCATGTTTGGAGAGCAGAACGAGGATTCCCAGGTTAGTAAGAAGCTGTTGGGTCAACAAATCTATTGAACTGGGATCTCTAGGCCTGCAGTTTTGTTTTTCTTATGTCTGTCTTATAACTAACTGTGTATGAGTAAGTATATAATATGAAGATGGGGTATTTTACAATACTAGGAGTTGTTCAGAAACAATTACCCAAAACTTAGATTTCCTCCCCCACCCCCCCAACTGTATAGTTTTCTAGTTAGATTAATAGAATTGCATTATTCTGTTACTCCAGGCTACTAGTCCCTTAAATTTGTTTCAGGCTGGGGTTTTTGGGTGGCAGTTTTCTGATTGTCAGGCTTCTTTTGCTGTGTGGGTTTTGGTTTGAGGATTTTTGGTTTTGTTTTTGCAACTCTATTGACTTCTACTGAACGTTCATGTCTTCCTGCTACTTAATCATATTTATGATGCTGAATTAAGCTATTTGTGTTTGACTTCCATAAACTAACATTTTTAGTACTCTGACATTTATTATAGTCTGTTAGCTAGGAAGTAAATCAGACATATATCTTCTTGTTGGCAAAAGAACAAAAGCAGCTATAGTTTCAGTCACTGGTTGATGAAAGGCTTGCAGTGGTGCCTTATTTCGGGGAAAGAAACATAATACCATTAAGGAAACTGATTTCTAAATAAATCTCTCTCAGTAGCCCTTTATAAAAATCCAAAGAGAAGCACACTGTCAAGCCCTAATTCAAACCTCGTCATGAATGTTGTTCTCCCAAATGGGACTCTTGGCCACAAGGGCTGTTACTGTGGTAGCAGTTACACTTTGTTGTGCTTTCACAAGTGTTTTGTTACTGCCCCAAGTAATTTTCTCTGTGTGAAAACTCTACAAAGTGTGTACATGCTCAGTTCTCTGTCCTCCTGCCTGAGCTTCACCCGTTGGCTGTAGTTGGAAGCACCAACCTTCAGTTCTTCATTTCCAGAGGACATCTCTTCTGTCAGCCAGGCCTAAGCCATGGCTCTGAAAAGCACATTTTGTTGCCCAGCTACCTTGGCTTTCCACCGTAATACAGGGTATATATTGTGGAACAGGGGTCTGTCTTACTGGGGTGAAAAAGCAACACTTGCTGTGAGGAAATACTGTTAAAAATGTTGTTCCTCTCTTTCAGAGCTCTGCAAAGGATGACCCCACGAATGCTTTTGACAGGTTAATTATAGAAGAAGAAATTCATTCTTTAATTTTAACAGAAACTTCAGAGAGCTCTAATCCTGAAAAAGAAAGCAGGTAGACTCTGCTTTATCAATGATTCCTGCTCCTGTACCTCAGGTGACTGTAGATGTGAAGAGGCCTGTGAGGCACTGGCCAGCTCTTCCTTCCCTGAAGATGCATCACTAACAGTGGCTGTTCTTCCATCTCTGCCAGAAATACCCATCTGAGCTCAGTCAGGATGAGCATGTGTGTAATCCCATGGGACTGCATTCTGGGTTCCCTGCTCTGGCTTCAGCCAGCTCTGCCCTGCAATTGTTACTGCCACTTGCACTTGTGTTTGTGCCTCACACCACACTGTCAGGGTTGTTTGTTTTTTGTTTTTTTTTTTTTGGAGCAAGCACTGTGACTTCTCTGAAGTATTTGGCTCTGTTTGCAGTAGGTGGGATGGGTCATTCCTGCTACCACGTGGGGTGGCAGAGCATGGACTGTTTGTGGATAACCCTTTGTGTGCCTGGGCTGGGCACTCTCTGGAGGGCACTTATGGACTGAGCTTCTTGTGCTTCTGCCCATCAGCTGGGGCTTGGTCAAATCCCACCAAAGAGGGTATTTTTTTAATTTGAAAATGTGTATGAAAAGCCTCTGCTTTCCAGCTGGTGTTCAGAATATTCATAAAAAAGGCTTAGTTTTATTATCCTGTCAATTGCCTGTCCTCAGATGCCTTGCCTTCACGGACTTCTTGGGTTAATTATACTTTGTGTAAAAGGAGAAATAGAATTTTTTTTTACTTGTTCTGTGCAGTAGCAGATAACTGTATTGAGTCTCACCAGACTGTGATTCTACTTTGGCCATATTGGCCTGAAGACACCTGATTTTTAGCAGCTAAGTTGTCCTGAGCCTGTCCAGCAAAAAAAATGGATGCATGAGTCTAAGAAGCTGTGATCAAAAGGATTAGCAAATATTAAACCACTGAAACCCAACTAATTCAAAGGCTTCAAGACCCATCCTTACTGCCAAACTGATGGATCTGGGGAAGAGGGGGTGACAACCTTGACCTGTTTTCTAAGAGATAAGTTTTATTCTTCCTATAGTGATGAGACTCTGATTTGAGCTTCCCCTCTAGGACTTAGCAATGTAAAACAAGGTGCTGATTTCACTTTTTAAAAAATATTTCTTCTATATTTTACTGTAACAGTTTGACAGGTGTTTTTGTTGTTGTTTTGTTCATTCTTTGATGGTTTTGTTTTGAGGGTTCTTTACCCAGCAAAGCTCAGCAGGTGTTTTCTGGACAACTGTGACATTTTTCTGCTCTGCATTCTCAGCATTAGTTTCTGCCCTGTGCTGCAAGGGTGGTTACAGTGGTACCTTGATTGTGCTGGAGGAGGAAGATAATGGAATGGAGAGAAAAGGATCCATGGAAGCTCTTTATGATTAGTGCTCAGGGATTTCTTGCTCCTTCCAGATAAGTGCAGACAAGTGAGTCAGGGATGTGGGCAGTCTTAGCAGACTGGGAAGAGATCTCCTGATAGGCTTTATAGGAGCAGACTTTATAGCTACTAACCTTTTAAAGTTCATCCTTGTCTTCAAACTCCATTTAGTCAAAAAAGTGAAACTAAATGCTATATATTTAGAACATATTGTTCTGCAAGAAGTAGAATGAGTACCACAGGCTTTTTAGCTACAAATGTGCATCTTTTATGCACTTATGTATTCCCTCCTTATCGATAAATCCAATTCTTTCCCATTGTTCAGTGAGCCTCTCAAATACAGTTTTTCCATGTCTCTTATCTGCCTTTTGTTAGTGGTAGAAAGGAGAGGCGAAATGGAGCAGAACTAGCAGACCCCCTATTAACACAAGCCTTTTACCTCCAATCAGGCTAAAAAAGCCCCAACATTACGAAAATTAGTAAATGAGACAAAATAAAAATAAAGCCTCAGGGATTTCAGTGAGAAAAAACTCAGGTTATACAAAGTCAGCTAGTAGCACTCTCTGAAATTCCAGAGATTAAGGAATAGCATGAGGAGAAGAGTAATTACATTCCTTGTTGAATTCATTCCCTCTGCAACATTGATGTCCTTCAAATGATAAATATTCCTTCAATCTACCTCATCTGGAATGTTGCTCAACATAGACCACTAGGCAGAAATGTACAGTTGCAAGATAAGTAAACATAACAGCGTAATATAAAGTTTTGTAGCTTTCAGCATAGCAATCTAGGAAAATCAGTACTTACCCCTAAATTCTTTTGACTTTTATGGTGGTGTCTATGACAAAACCAAAACTTACTTGCTTTTGAAAAAAAACCCAAACCAACAAAAAACCCCAAACAAATTTGTAAAGCCATAGAATGAAAAAAAAAAGGATGGAAGGTGTTAGGCCAAAAGGAAGATTTAAATGCTAAGGATGGTTTAAGTCACTATATAGAAAGGTTTTGAATAACACTAGTTGACACTTCCTCATGGATTCATTTATTGAGCCTGTGTTTCAGTATGTAAAGCAAGTATCTGAATATACTTTCACCTTTGACATGTTTTTTTTTTAAGGTAAGAGGTTTTTTAGCTTGAAATTATCCAGATTTTGCTATGATTTTTTTTCTTCATTGCAGTTACTTGATCTGTAAATTTGTTCAAAGAGTGAATAAATGTGATTGAATGCTTTTCAGTGTAATGGCATGGCATTTTGTTCTAGGGTTGAGGAGATTAAACTGAGGCCAAAGTGGTGAATTTTTAATGAGGAACCATGTCTGAAGCATGCAGAACCCAGAGAAGAAAAGCTGAATTGCTTTGCCCTCTTCCCTTTTAAGAGTGAATTGTTTTAAGAGTCCATTGTGGATGGACTGCATGCCATGGTTTTGGCTGGGATAGTGGAACACAGATGGAGCTGAGCACAAGGTTTGGGCTCTCACCCTCTCTACTCAAGGCCATTCTACTTTCTGACATTGGACATTATTTCAACATCATAGAGACTTAATAAACCATCAAACTGGAATTTGACTGAAATTGCTGCAGCTTTCCCCAATGTATCTTTAGTATTTTACATCTTTGTTAGCTGCTGAGGTTATTGAAAATGCCAGGTTGCTAAACTGCTGGAAGCCATCAACTTGTCACTTAGACCCAAATATATTCAAGTGCCAAATAAACACATTAGTAATGGCTTCTTGGAAAGACTGAGAGAGAATTCTTAGTTCCCTTTAGTGAGCTGATCATTCAAAATTAAGATATAAACCATGACATCAAAAACAAGACTTTCATGTTTCTCTTTCACAGTTCTACAGCTTTGGTGGTAATAATGACTAACAATGATTTTAATCACTCCCTGTAAGTGACCTTTTCCTATTTTAATATATTCTGTTAAATAATCTAAGCTTTCTGTATTTGGCATCACTGAGAAATTGAACAATTACTTTCTCTTTTTTTGGTTAAGGAATGACATGACATAGTTGAAAGAAGTTCAGAGGAACACACTGAAGTGTAAGTCACAGTGTTTCAGTGCTTACTGGGTAGAACTGTTCACAGGTTGGGTATTTCCATTCACTGGAAAGTATTCAATAAACTTATTTCTGAGCTGGGACTTCAAATACTCAGAATTTCCTTTTTTTTTTCATTATTTAAAAAAAATAACATAATGAATTTTTTGTTTTGGAGGGTTTTCCACTCACTCAAGCAAGAACAGGATGTAGGTGAGTAGGGGGTGGAAGTCCAGATATGGTCAGGATGTTGTAGAAACCTCCCTCCCTCCTCACCCAAGTGCTGTGGTAGGGCAGCAACTGAGATCTACAGGAACAGGCAAGGTGGGGCTGGGAGGAGCAGTTCTGCTGGGTTACTGAAGGTTCATCAAGATATTCCCCAAATACTTCAGTTTTAAACAATATTTGCAAAATATGTTTTAGGGGAGCATTGCCAGCTGAAGAAATGTAGCTTCTAGATAATACTGAAAATCCAAATGCAAAACCAGATTAAAATCTCTCTATTTGGATGAACTTTCTGCAAGCTGTTGAATGAAGGTGCTAGCAGGAGGCTCAGATCACATGATGTAACAAAATCCACACTGTTACCACAGCAAAGCAATGTGGGTTTGGGTGGGTGGCACGGGGAAGAGAAACTTTCTTTCGGGTCCGGAAACTCTGTCTCAGGTTTCTAACATGTAAGGGCCTGAGAGCTTGTTGATGACTTATAGGGGTTTTTTGGGGTTGGTTTTTTCAATCTGTTTTTCCCATATGCTGGTTAGGTAAATGAAATCCTTTCTCTTTGTTTGTAAACCTTGCGGTGTTTATCACTGAAGGACCCCTTCTATGGCCATTCTCTGGTTTTTGCTTAGTTTTCTGAAGATATTAACTCAGTGGGGAAAGACAATTGGTGCTGCCACGACAGAGCTGAAAACCAGCCAGGGTACTCTAGTAATAGTCTCTGCTTCTTGTTTGGCTTTTGCTAAAATACTGCAATTATTTTGATGACTCTTGCACAAAGCAGCTACAAAAAGATAACTTTCCAGTTAACCAAGACTTCCAGTAATCATGTTCTTAGCTTGTTATATCAGTTTTCCTCTTTCATTTGGCACAAACAGCTAAATAAAATAGCAGTTTATTTTGGCTAACTGTATGATGGGATTAAATGCTTTAGTGAGAAAGATGTTTGGTTAAGCTCAGGCACTGTCACTTTTTGGAATCTTGGGCCAAATTTGCAAAGCTAGATTGAATATTAGGGACAGCTTGAACCAGGAGTTAAGCTAATGCTTTAAAAATAAAGCTGCCCCTACATCGTCTGTGCTGAAAGAAAAAATAACAAACCCAACGAAATATGTGCTCCGTTGTGGGAAAAATTGTGCAATGGGCATGCTGTCCTAGTGATCTATTGCAACTGATATCAGCAATTTCTGCCTAAAAGTTCTCTGTTCTGAAACACTAAAACTGAGCTGTATTTAAGACACTTAGCCATGTCATTGCCACTTCTTTACCTGTTTAGCTGTAGCAACAGAACAGATTTTTTTTTTTTAAATGGCAGAGAGCATGAAAATAAGCCTTTTCTGCCTGTTGGAGCCTTTCTCCCTCCTGTACTTCAAAGCCTTTTAGTCTCTCACTAGTTTCCTTTCTTCACACAAAATGTCAGTGTGGAAACTTCTAAAATGCCATCAAGGTAGTCCTAAAAGATGTGAAACTGCCTGGTCCTCCAAATGTCAAAATCAGCTACAGGGAAAGCTACTCAGGGTATGGCTATTTCGTTTTAATATCACACCCTGTCATGTTGTAGAATATTCAGCTGTAGACAGATTTGCCTACATTGGCAGGTGCTAAGGCTGAGCCATTAGTTGACATTTTCCCACAGCTGACTTTAACACACTTTTCTTGCATACAAGCCTTT